CCCCAAAACCCCAAAACCCCAAAACCCCAAAACCCCACAAAGATATTTTAGGGATGAAAATTAGGAATTATAAATATTACACAAATATGAAATTAATGATTGCACTTGTGATGATGATCACTTCTGTTGCTGCAACCTGAGCTATTCTTACTAATTCAACAGATGGCAAGTATAAGTTCAGCATCAAGATTACTCAGAATAGAGAGGAAGAGGTTCTGTCTGATGTAGCATTAAGACTGACTACACCTTCAAAGGATAGCCCTATGGGGAGTAGTCACTATGCCACTGGAGCATGTATCAATACGGGAAGTAGTAATTACACTCTCACTACAACATCAACCACTTTGAGTGGATTTGGTATTGAATGGCAATGCAGCTCAGCTTGTAATTCCTTAGACTCACTTCACCACTCTGTGAAGTTTTATGCTGGTGCTAATTGGGGACTAGATACTTCTAATAAAGCAAGCGCGAGTTCAGACTTGACTCAATACACCTCTATTACAGGAAATAACACAAATATGACATCTTACGATACATCCGTTCATACATTTTATGGATTGTCTGCATCTCAGTTGAGAAATCAAGTCTATTTCCCGAACCAAACAGAAACTTGGTACATGAAATGATTTGCTAAATTCAATCATTCCAGTACTTTAAATCTTGACAATGGAATTTCAGACCTGAGCACAACTCTTGGGAATGAGAATACAGTAACTGTTAAAGGAAAGAGCCACCAAGTGGCTCTTTTCTTATATATAGTAGGAGTTCTCACTATATTCCTCGCCTAAGCTTTGTATTAAGTTGAGTTTTCAGACGCTATAAACAAACTAACATTTTTTTCTGGCTCTTTTAACTTGTTTACTATTATCTCCCTTAACATCTCTCCTAGCTCACACTCCCTTAGCGCATGTATGCTCATTCTAGGCTAGATTTCCCCTCTGTGCTTGCTTCTCTCAAGCATTGGCAACTTTCTGATGCCTGTATTCCCTTCAAAGTTTGCCAAAAAGTCCCATTTATGCTCATAAATAGTTTTCAATCTTGCTGAAGCCCATGGGGTTTTGGGGTTTTGGGGTTTTGGGGTTTTGGGG